GTTTTTTTTTTTCTTTTTTTTTTTTGTTTAGGAATTTTTTGCGAACACTCGCTTCGCCATTTTTCACTAATTTTTTTGTACGACAAAAATTGACGTTCGCGAGAGAATTTCTTTACTGCGTTGAATTTCTCAACTTTGTATTATATTTTTGTTAATAGTTTGAAATAAAAATCTCTTTTTCAGATTAGACATTTCCTTCAATATTCGTCACGGTATTTCAACTGAAGATTTCAAATGTTGGTTGAATTTTAATGTGAACAAAAGTGTTAGCTTATACATACATATATATATATATTGTGTTTAATATATACCGACAATAGGTGAGTTGAAAATATAATCAAATTATACGTGTAAACAAAAATTCTTCGACGATGAAATATTTCTGAGGCTAACACTAATCGATCTGCCCTAACTGAAATCTCATTTTCTGATACTTTTTGAAGTTTCCTAAGTATACGTTTCGACACTGAAAAACGAAATGTCAGTCAGTTATTTCGTTCGTTTAATGAAATAATAGACGAGATCTACTAACTGTCCCTATTACTGAAATATTTCAGCAGCGATTTATGAAATATAATGCGATATCGGGTAATAAAACTTAGTTACCGAGGACTAGTCGAGATCAAAGGGAAGCTTCCCTCGAACGACGACGCGACAGAATGTCGTGAAAAGTTTAATGAAAGATCGCGATTCGTCCAAACATGGGGCGGAAAGTTCCTTCCAGTAGCTTTGCAAAACGAAGCTTCTTTGGCGAGTTAAAAAAAATTCCGTACGTTCGAAGGAAGTTCGTACAAACGTAAAATACGAAAGGCAGGAGATATTTTCGACCGAGTACAATTTTTCGAGGCAACTTTCCCCGTAAAAAGTTTAATAGCATTAACAACCATGACGATTGAACATCGTCATCTGGTTTCTGAAACGATATTCGACGATATTAGTCACAAGAGTTAATGACTAGCACTAATTGTGTATTAATAGCAATTAATTAATGGTTCGTCGTATTAATTGTGAAGTATAAGTGAACATACACTGTTGATGAAAGAAAAAAAAAAAAGAATTTGAACTGTAGAATGTTTCAAAAACAGTACACGTTTCATAGATTTTCAAGTCTTTCGTCAATTAAAAATTCTCACCTTTCGGAGCAAAGTAAATTGTTTATTGTTATACGTGAAATCGGTTAGGTATAGTAACAAAATATCTCGATGGTAGAAATTATCGTGAGACAACTTCGCAAATCGATGTTGCAGCATATTTTATCTTTTCGTTATGAGAGAATTCATATTTTCGACCAGCTATAACGATTCTACAGAAACTGCAATCATTGAAAATCAACCAATAACTCGTACGTACTTCAGCGCACACCGATACTTGTACAAATTTGCGCTTTAAGTCAAACAACTAAGACGCTATCCTTCTTTCAAAAACAGAATACGAGTGAAAATGAAACACTGGCGCGAAAAGTAATGCCGATACTGCCTGATGGTCACTCTTTCGGGAGAAAGAAGAGACGACACGCGATAAACTTTATCAATAAAACATGCAGTTAGTTCCGCCACCCTCTGTCCCTGGAGAGAGGAAAGATGTCACTCGCTGTAATGTCGTCGTGTAATGTCCACCATCTTGGTACGCAGAGGAGCCATAAACTTGGGGATCCGTTTTCGCGAGTGCAATAAAGCCGGTTTCGGAATCATCTTGCGCAATAACGGCAACGGGCCGAATTCCGTGCAACAATCCGAATGTCAAATGGCGAGCCGCGACTCCACGAATCCTCGCAGCGCGACTATACTAGCAACAATAAATAGATTACACGACGGAGAGTGCCACGGCACGGTGGCAGCCGTTTTACGTGCAGTTGGGCGTATTTGTACAGCTGGTGCGTGTATCATTCCGACGGCAATCAACAGAAGTGCATTGCATTAATGAACAAACGCACTAGTTAATAACAATTATCGCTGCTATTCGGATATTGCGTCGCCCGCGGGCTGCCACCGTCTCTGCTGCACACGCCACGATTCCTAAGCATTTCTGCTAACGAGCTGAGCACTGGCGACAACAGAGCGGGGAGTTGCGAATGTGGGCTGAGAATGAAGCAATTGTTTGCTTCGATAAGTTTTGTTCGATCAACGGAGTGCAGTGAACTGAGTTGCGTTCAACCGTCTGTCTCTCTTCTGTTCCTTCTCTTTCGTCCGATTCCTTCCGACGAGTTACATTTCCTTTCGATTCGAAATTGATCCCCAGCGTCCGACAATGTTTGAAAACAGTAAGCCAGTATATCAAATGATATAAATTATTTGTTTTGTCAAGTGACGGTGTATTATAAATAAAATTCAGGAAGTTCAGCAAACGAACTTTCAATCTTCTCGTTTTAAAGGGGAAGTTAATCGTCGAGTTGACGCGAGTATTAAACTGGACGAACGAGCTAAATTTGAGTTTCAAACGTGCATTCGTTCTTAATACGTACAACTGTCGCGCTCTAAATAATACTGAGATACGTAAACGAGTTCGAATTTGTTAAAACGGGAGAGCATTCGTTCATTTGGTCCGAGTGTATCTTTAGAAGAAGAGTCAAGAAAGAAATTGACCGTGTGGATTTTGGAATTTACCTTCTGCGATAGTGTGTTTCTTGGCCGCCATTACCGTTACCTCGTAACGACGCTATTAGGTTATCTTGCCAGTTTTCGTTGCTCTGAATCGTTCCCTTAAAAAGAATACGTACCCGAAGGCGCTCGGTATCTTTATTCGAAATAAATATCGCGATTTTACGTAACTTGTAATAAATGTGGTAATCTTAACTTTCGAATTAAATAAGTTTCGAACGTTAATTTGAAATGTTAATTTCAAATATTACACCTCGTCTAAGGCGTAGTGTTACTTAAAAAAAAAAGATGATAGAGGTTATATTATTATTGATTATAATTGTTACTGATTGTGATATTATTACTGATTGAAGTTTGTTTAGAGTTTACGAAGAGTCATATTGTTTTCAGTCAAAGTATATATTTTTTAGTATTGCAATTTAAATATATAATTATATATAAATATAATATAGGATATATATAAATTAAAAATATATTTTTTATTATTATAAATTTAAGTATTATATTTTAACACATCCAATAAGAATACATTTGCAATTTAGTAATTAGATTTTTAATAATATATAATCCATATTTTGATTAGATTATTTACTGTATTATTATACTATATTTATTATATTATATATTATATATTATTATATTAGTAATATAATATTAGTATATATTAGGATTATTATATTATTGAATAATTAGTGTATTATTATTATAGTATATTATTATATAATTATATAATAATATACTCCATATTTTGAACGGAAGTATTCTTTAATTTTCTATAATTTCTATAATTTTCTACAATTATAAATAATTCCTCACAGCTGTTATAACTAGCTGAACTATAATATTTTTACTGCCATTAGGCGGCCGTGTCAATCGATATCTCTCTCTTTCTCTGTCTCTCAATAAATCATTCATTCACCGAAATGTTACTCACAGAAGAAAATCGTAACGAAGTTGAATGATTTGGACGATCTGTCAAACGTATTCTATCGGTTCTATCGTTAATGATGGATGCGCCGGTGCAATCGTATCAGGTAAATAGAATATGCGATTGTATGGTATACATCGTAATCCCATTGTTTCCTTACCGGCGTAAGTAAAGCGGTATCGATTTAACAGCGTAGCGTGCGGCTTGATACGTTTCATTGTTCTATTCATTAGCGCATGCTAATGGGATTGCAAATGTGTCATGCGAATGACAGTGAGCCGCATATATAATCTGTTTGCAAATAAGAATGTTGTTGTCGTTATTCCATCTGCGACATGTGCTATGCACATTTAAATGTATAACACTTTTTTAACACACGTTGATCCTGAAACGAATTTCGCACGTTTGGTTCACGCTGCTGGTGTGAATCGTACGACATATATATTATTTAAGCGAAAGTTTGCATTTGCTAATTTTATAGCGCTTTCAATATTGACTTTTAATATTTCAATATTGATATATAATTTTATAATTTTATTCCCCACATGAAATTATGATATTTCATCTGTTACAAATTCATTAGATTTTATTCCCATCACTGTAATAATCGTGATCAGATTAATTTATTTTCACGATCAATTTGTGCTGCAGTGATTTTATTAATTTCATCTTTACCAGTTTTAGGAGAGACAAAATAATGGCGGAGTGATAAGAAATCGATATTAACTCGAAATTGTTTAAAGAATTTCATTGTTAAGGAAAGTAGAAGAATAAAATTGTCTCATTATTTGATAGTGTGTTTGACACTTTACATCTCTTACGAATTTTAGAGTTTAGGAGTGATACTCGATTTACTTAGAGTTTTTATGATACTCGATAATACTCGACGCAGTTAATAATTAACAATTTTTCTTCTTCTTGTTCTTCCAGATCGGATATAGAATACACGACAAATTCGTCGAAGACATTCTTGAAAATCCCGGACGTGAAACTGGAGGACGAAGGTCTTTACAAGTGCGAGGCTACATACTTGGCTGTGACTCGAAAGTGCAATAACGTTCAGCATATCATACTTAACGTCACCGGTGAGTTTTTTAAAATTATTCCTTCGAAATATCCACAGTCCTTATTTATTAATCGAGATAAACTGTATTTCGATAAATTTGAAAAGAAACCCTCCAAGTAGAACTCCACTTGTCACAACGGAATTTCATTTAACGAAACGGACCTTATGCGACCGAGGAATAACACGTGCAACGATAAAAATTTCAAAAGTCTAGCCTTATAAATTGCATAAACAGGTTTCTACCATATCTCGAAAAGACACGAACAAAACGAAAATTCGTCATCGCTATTTACTCGGCTCTTTTTCTTTACCTCTGCCCGCTTCCTCGTCGAAAGTTCAATCGCTCGAGCTGAACTTTCCGCCAGACTCCCTAAACATACGACACCCGGCAACTTGAAACTGTCGTTTAGCGAAAATTTACAATTCAATTCGATAAGCTCGCGTTGGTAAACGATTGAATCGCGATTATTTGCCGTGTAATCGTACTCGAGAGGTGGAGAGGGGGGATGTATGGGGGCAGAAGCGATGGTTTTCACGGTGGCGCGGGCCAGAGGTGGCATATAATTTAATTAATCGATTAAACGCCGACGATCCACCGGTAGTAAGATATGCGTGGAATAACTCGTATTAGACGTATCATACTTGTACGATCCGTGTAATCTGGCTAATGCCAGTAATTCGACAAACGAGAAAGCCGCAGTACTAATCCCGAAGTGGTAGCGGCTAAACCACTGAACCGGTTATCTTGACGCACGCAACATGTCACACTATTAAAGTGCGGTTGAATTTACGGCACATGAAAGGGATGCCAATTATTTACTTTGAAATTTTCGCCAGGATTGCAAGGTATCGCCAGCCAGGCGAGCCTAAAGAGTAACGATTCACGTAATCGTGATATCCGATCGCCTCGTAAAGTTTCTTCGATTCAGATGAGAATTGAAGTTTCATCAGGTAGCTGTTTACTGATTTAAATAAGCAGCGAAATAGAAAAAAATTGCGTTAAATCACAGATGACGTTCGTACGAATGAATTTGATTTTCATTTCGTTTCGTGCTGTTCGATTTAATTGTATTTTATTTTCATTTGATAGCCACCGGTTGTCGGGGTGAAATTAATCCTTTGACGTCGGCAAACTTTTTTCTCGTATCATCTGCCAGCAATTTATTTACGAAACGTCGCCACTCTCAAATAAAATGACACAGCATGATCACAATAGTATGGAAATAATCATTGAAATGGGTATTTCAGAACGTTGGTGTTTGAAAACTTTTCGGATGGAATCAAAATTGATTTCTTGCACGGGAGGACGGAAGCTTTGAATAGCCTTGGAATCATAGAGTTGAGTAGATTTTTATCCTTTCGTGAAAAATTGATAAATACTATATTTGCAAATGGCCAATGTCGGATGTAATATAACTTTTCTCGAATTTTAATAAGCATAATTTTATCCACTTTTGTACCGTGAATGAAACGAAACTGCCTGGGAATTAATTATATTCCTCGCACACATCCTGGACTCGGCAACTCATTTTCGTGTCATTATTGGACGTAAAAATGGCCCGCCAAAGAGTTAAAAAGACAATCGTGATAAAATTTTATGGAAAATTGAAACTTCAACGATAGAAAGTTGAACGTTGTTTTCTGAAATAGCTGAGAATCGAATTTTCATGGGGAGAAAAAGAAAAAAAAAAAGAAAAGAACAACGTGAATTTCGTAGTAGAACATTTTTATTTCTGAAGAGAAAGATTGAAGCTTCATTGAAAACGGTTTGTTAGATTAATTGAACCGAGCTCCTGGAGGGAGAAAAAAATTGAAATTTTAGTATCGGTGTTGATTGTTCGTGTAGGAAGCTTGAAATTTCATTAAAAATGAACGATCGGGTTGCGAGTTTTCACGAGGTATCGTAAATTTCGTAGCGGAGTACTTTATTTTTGAGGGTAGATTGAAACGTCATTGAGGGTAGATTGAAAACAATATTTTACAGCAGTGGAATCGGAATTTTTCTGTTTTTCTCCAAAAAGAAATGAAGAGATTTCCTTGACAGAATTAATTATTCGAAAGGATTGATTGAAACTTCGTCGAGAATGATATTTTACAGTACAGTTGGATTGAAGCTTTCGAAGAAAAATCGGAAACATCCTGCAACAGAATCGAATATTCGGGAAGATTGGAACTTCTTTATAAATGATGTTTGAAACAGTTGCGTTGAATATCGTTTCGGATAAAAGTCGTGGAATCTGTTGCAAAATTTATTTTTCGTAGAATGATATGAAATATTTTTGGAAGGAAATGGGGAATTGTTCACTCGCGGTAAAAGATTGAAGCTTTATTCTTCGAAATATTCGGACATCAGTTTTATTGTCATTTTCATAAGAAATTGAGTAGTTTGAGATCGTCGTTCTTACCGACAGATTTCAGTTTAAGAAAATAATATTTTCAAAGCAAAGTTTGAAACTTTCTAATGGGAAATCGAATTGTTTATTGACGACGGGAGATTTGTGTATGTAAAAATCGGGGATATCGGGGAAAATAGATTTCTAGATATTGGGAGACAGAATGTTTACCATGCCTTATGGACATGATAGATGTAGTACATGTAACTTTTATTAAAGTAAACGGTACGTTATTCTCTCGTTATATTTAACTATGATGTCAAAAAATAAGAACAAAGCTAGGAATATGTTTAGAAATTTTCCAGAAGCTCCAAATTATATATAAAATTTATAAAGAAAGAGACAAATAACGTTCACGTGTTATAATTTGTAAGTTACAGCTAATATATCAGTTTGAATCATACGTAACTTTTGGTATTATAATGTAACTGTGGTATGCTACTGGTATTTTCAGTGATAGATATACTGTTCGACATTGTACTTTCTCACAAATCCCAAAAACATTTAATTTCTTTTTCAACAAGTCTACATTTTATATTAGAAAAGGAAAAAACAAAGTCAAAAAGTGGAAGAAGTCAATTTGAGAACATTGCGCGACAAATTCTCTTTCGAAAGTCAGAAATCGAAAAAGAAACAGAATTTTCTCGATCGATATAAATAGTATAGATAAATATCATCCCGGACTGAACGCCACAAATAAAATCCGATGGAAAATCGTAAAAGGCTCGAACAAGCGCAATAATTAGGTACACCTTCATCCTGACGATTCTATAAAAGCGCAGTTATTAAGGCGCAGTTTTGAACAATCAACTGAATTACGAAATTTGGCATGGCGGCTGTTGCATCGGCGCTTGTTAAAGAATATTGTGAGGACCGGAAACTGTCCGCAGTTTGAAACACCGGCAGAAATTTTCGCGGCAAGTCGCCCGCGAGCTAACAATGTTGGAAACTGCCCAAGGTACCATTATGATTCTTACGCTGTCCGATTACCAACCGGCCGTGCTAATAGCGCGAGACCTGTTTTGAACTTAGTCCAGGCCACGGCCTGCGAAACTGTTCATCCATAGAGAGTTTATTGCAATTATCAGCGCGTTGCCGAGCGTGACGCGTGAATGGCTGAAAGTTTAGCGACGCGGAAGTCGAAATGTCGCGTAGGGATCCCGTGTTTTCCCTTCCTGGGTATTTATCCACCTGTCTAATTGTAAACGGAACTTTCCAAATTGTATTTGTGGTCGTTCAATGATAGACAAAGTGTATCACATTTGAGCGAGTTAAAAGTTTAAACGTATCTGATGATTTAAGGGAGAAAATTTCCTTTTTTTTCTTCTTTTTTGATACTTTTGATACAGTGGAAAGTAAACAGTTGTCTGTGACAAGAGTTACGAATCATAAATAGGTTATGGATTGTATCAAATTAGGCTTTATTATTTTATTTTTTGATTTAACTATTTATTTATTTTACTTTTATTTTCACTTTATAGATTAAATTGTTTTGTTATTAATCGTCTGTTATTAAGTTATTTTTATCACTTTATTTTTAACTCAATTGTTTATTTGTTTTATTTTTTTATTCAATCATTTTATTTATTTATTTATTTCATTTTCCATTTATCAGAATTATTTATAGAAAATGTTTAACTACGTATTCGACAATTTTAGATTGTCAAAATATGAATCTGCAAAGAATGTTTGTAATTTAAAAATTCGCATAATACTGGACATTGTTAGATGTAACCAGAGCATTCGTGCTGCAAGATAAATCTGGAAATATAATTGGCCAACTTCACTGGAAATATTGACTATCATAATACATTGATGTTATACTAAAAATACAACAAAGTACTCTTGAAACACTTATCAATAGACAGAGATCAGGTCAGTTTAAAAAAGCAGAAACATAATTTTCAACGCGACGTGTGTTTCGACGAATCAATCGCGCGACAGTTTCAGGTCGAAAGAATCTTCTTGGCTTCAACACGGTTTAAAATTTAGTCTCCCTTTCAGTCTAAAATTTTTAAACATCAGGTCGAACGTCAATCTAAATTTTCGAACCAAAGAAGTGGGCACGAAGCACGAAGAGACGTACTGAGATTTTCAAAGAATGCGGCGACACGAACAACAATTGAGGACGGCGACCAAATAAAAACAATTAGAACCGGGTTGCTATTAAAAGTTGTAAATTGCATACTTGTAACACCAGTCCGCGTTGCGTTCGTGTCTCATAATTTCGATGGACAACATTATTTTCGGCGGGAACAAACGCTTTTCAGTCCAAGCCTCACCATCCGCACTAATGATACATCTCGCGTTTGCTCGCGTTGTTGCAAAATTATCACGGCTAACGACACAATTAACAACCGCCATGATTCAAACGCCGGACTCGTCGAAATATCGACTTGTTCCTCTCGCAAATTCTCATATTAATTACAAACGCACTTTGTCTGTTCGTCGAAACGTCCGATCGGCAACAACGTTTGACTCTGTTGATTTCGTTTTTACACATTTTCGAACGCCGCGTTCACGAAAAAAAAAAAAAAACCCGGTATTAATGGAAATAATTATTCGTCGGACGTATGATTGATTTTTGTTGCAGCCGGAATGAAAAAGGATTTTTAAGCGGAAGTTG